TTCATTTATTTATAAATCCCAAAGAGTTCTGAGGATAAAATTGAGTTAAGATGGCTGTGGAGCTTACCTTAGGGAGCGCACATGTTAGGGGAGGTTTTAGGATGGACAGACACCTCCCAGGATGATGAGGACCATAATGGCAGCATGATGTAGGATTGGAGTGTGACAGGTGGGTGGTTGATGCTGCCTGGGCCCTGAGGTGGGGAAGAGCAGATGGGAAGTTTTTGCTCTTGCTGTCTTTTGGGATCTTGCCACCACTTTCCCAGCCTTAGGGAGCTGTGGCAAGTAGGCCCTCTCAGCCCTGCTTGGCAATGGAGGGACACAGACTGTCTCCATCATTTAGATCACAGTCTGATTGCCCCTGCCTAGGAAGCCTGCACCTCTGCTGTCAGCTAACCGCAGACCTGGCCTCCAAAGGCCTCTTCCTCTTGGATTGCTCGGTCTGCAACTCATTGCTGTACATTTTCTTCCCCTCTCTTCTGCCAACCCACCCCATAGTACACATCCTTTGTTGTTATACGTATAATGCCTAATCATATATTCCTTTCAGACAGTTCTTCCCCTCTTCTGTTCTACTGCAGTGTTTATTATCTATCCACTCTTTAACCATTCTTCCCCAAAGCACTCCTCCATCCTATTTTATAACAGCAATGGTATGCAGTATTTGTCCTTTTGTGGCTGAGAAGTTTCACTCAACATAATGTCCTCCAACCTTCTTCATGTTGTGTAATGTTTTATGAGTTCCTTGGTTTTTAATGCTGTGTAATACTCCATTGTGTGAAGGTACCAGAGTTTTTCTAGCCATTCATTTGTTTTGGGCACTTGGATTATTTCCATCTCTTTGCTATTATAAGTAACGCAGCAATAAACATGGGTGTGCGTATGTACATGTGTTTGAGTCATGCCTCTGGTTTCTTCTTTTTTATTTATTTTTTTACTTTTTTAATTATTATTATTAATTTCAGTGAATATCTAATGGCTCTGGTTTCTTTAGGGTATATTCCCAGTAGTGAAATTTCTGAGTCAAATGGTAATTCTATTTCCAACTTTTTGAGAAAGTGCCAGACTGCCTTCCATAGAGGCTGTACCATTTTATATTCCCACCAGAAGTGAATAAGGGTTCCAATCTCTCCATAACCTCACCAGCATTTGTTGTTTGGTGCTCTTTTGAACTTTGTTACTGTTTCTGAGGTGAGATGTTATCTCATAGTTGATTTTATTTCCATCTTTATGGCGGCTAGGGATTTTGAACATTTCTTCATGTGCCTGTTTGCCATCTGAATGTCGTCTTTGGTGAAGTGTTTATTCATATCCTGAGCCCATTTTGTGATTGGGTTGTTTACCTTTTTCTTGTTGAGGTGCTGGAGTATATTGATTTCACATATAAGTGCCTTATCAGATATGTCATTGCCAAATATTTTTTTCCCAGTCTGTGTGTTTCCTTCTTACCCTGTTGGAGAAGTTTTTTGATGTGCATAGGGATTTGATTCTTTGAAGGTCCCATAAACTGATTTTATTCTTTCCTGGTTGTAGATCTTAACAACTTCTTTCATTTTTTTATCATGATGTTGCCTTTTGGTTCAGTTGTGAGATTTGTTTGTTTTCTTTATGTTGAGATAAAATAAATCCATATTGAATTTTATATTCATCAATACAAGTCTTTGATAATCATCAATAAGTACTTCAAGTTCTCTTCACTTAAGCAAACAAGATGGTATCATCTGCATTTTGTAGGTTGTTAATGAGTCTTCTCCAGTCCTGATCCTATGTTCTACATGTAGCGTAGTCTAGCTTCTTGAATTATTTACTCAGCATACTGATTGAATTTGTATAGTGAAAGGATAATAAAATATCTGACACACATATTTCTTGATTTTCTTTTCTTTCCATTTAAAAAGTTATTAAGTAAAAGTTTACAGGGAAAATTCAATCATTCATACACATTTTGTTTCATAATACTACGATACCTGCAATATAATTACACTTTTCCCACTTCTTTCTGTAGTCCTCTTTTCCATTACTTCTGTTCTCCTACACCTTCCTGCCTGTCTCTTAGGCAAATGCTCTTCTTTTGACCTTATGTGGTTGATCATGGTAAAGAGTGAGTGCCTCCCTGGTGTGATTGGTCACATTTTAGGCCTAAATTGTTTGTCTGGAAGGTTTGTCTGGAAGATATGCCAGGGAGCTGAGTTTAGTTCTTACTCATAGTCTTCAGAGTTCCACAAGTTTGTGTTGGACAATGAGCCTGGCCTTTTTCATGCTTTTGGGGGTTTTCCACATTTCACCCAACTCTGTTTAGAATCTTTTATGTTGTTCCTTTTAGAGTGGTCAGCAGTGGTAGCCAGCCACTGTACTTCTTCTGGTCTTAGGGTCATGGAAATTGATGTTTAAGTAGTATTTTTAGACCTTTGAACTAATTATTTCAATACATTTTCTTCCCTCCTATTCATTCTGAACAAGCAGAAACCAATAGCTGTATTTTATATGGCTGCACACACGCTTTTAAAAGCCTGGGCATGCCTCATCAAAATAAGATGTAGAACTTTGTGAACTATGTTCTTCCAAATGACCTTGATGTCCCTCAGGATTAGGGTCCCAAGGCTCCAGAACTGGCAGTTCATTCCCTTAGGGTGTTGGTTGTGATTAAAGAGCCTGCTACTGGACCAGCTATAGATGTGGGTGAAAGAACAACATACCTAATAAAAATGTAGAAGTAGCATCTGCTAAACCTGTGTGTGGTCCTAAAACACGTCCTCATTTTAAACTGCAAGGTAGTCTCTTGTTCTGTTCAAACATCTGCCTCTTGGTCTATGGGTTCTGCATGAATTAAGTGTTCTAGAATTCCCATTCTTTGCAGTGCAGTGTTATCAATAATTTGTTATTATCCACATAGTCAATCTGATGTCAGTGAGATGAAATTAGGGACAAGTCCTAAAAATCACATACACAGTGGAGTCAGATCAGAATTCAAATTCTGGCCCAAAAGAGTTTCCTAAAAAAAGTGAGCTGAATCAATCCCAGAGGTACGTGGTTCAAATCCACCAGATGTTCTGCTGGAAAAGGAGGGGCAATTTCCTCCTGTACCAGTCAGATCCAATTTGACGGTACACACAAAAAATAATTTTTTTTTTAAAGCGAGCTGGGATCCTTTGTAAGACTCTTGGGTGAGGCAAATGATTAAGTTCTCAGGCACTAACCTTAAGGCACCTTGTCCAAAGATGCCTTGGAAGAAAGGCCCAGTGATCTACTGAAAGGTCACAGCTTGAAAACTTTACAGAACAGTTCAGCTCCATGCACATGGGGTCGCCATGACTTGAAATCAACTTGATAGCAGTAGGTTTTGTTTTTAATCCTCTAGATAGAGCTCTGAATGGAGTGAAGCCAGGCCACAGGTTTTTGGGAGCACAGAATGAGAGAGTCAGGGAAGATGGACTTAAGTTTGGAGTTAAAGAATGAGTGGTTGTCCTCAGACAGAACAGGGAGATTTCTGGTAGAGGACTGCACAACTCCCAACCCCAAAATCATGGCCAGCAGACCTCACTGCTCCCACCCAGTCCTTGCTTGCTGTCACAGTAGTCTCATACTGCCAGTCACTGCCAGGGTCATTAAGCAAAAACAGCCCCAGCTCAAATAACCAGTGACAAAAGTTACCACCGTCTGTGATGCTTCACTGGTGGTCCCTGCTTTGGTTAATCCTCCAGCTTCTGGGTTGTTGTTATTATTTCCGTCAAGTTGCCTGCAAGTCATAGCGACCCTATGTACAACAGCCCTAAACCCTGCTCTATCCTGTGTCAATCTCTGACGCACCTAACCCCATTACTCCAGTCACTGAATCAGTCCATCTCATCAAAGGTCTTCTTCCTCTACCCTCCCAAGCATAATGTCCCTCTCCAAAGACTGGTCCCTCCTTGCAACATGTCCAAAGTATGTTAGACGAAGCTTCAGAATCGTTGTCTCCAAGGAACAACCTGGTATAACCCTCTCTAGAATGACCCATTCATTCTCTTAGCAGTCCTTGGTATATTCAACACTCTTCTCCAACACCAGAGCTCAAAGGTATCAATTCTCTTTCCATCATCCCTAGTCATTGTCTAGCTCTCTGATACATAGCAAGTGATTGCAAAAATCATAGCCTGTATCAGGAGCACCGTAGTCTCCAGACTGACATCACTGCTCTTCATTACTTTGGAGAAGTCTCTGACAGCAGACTTTCCCAACACAATATGTCTTTTCATTTCCTGGCTGCTGGTGCCAAGAGTTAGGATTGGAAATATAATCCTTACTTTACAAAAGAGAAAACAAAGCTCAGAAAGGCTAAGGGTTTGCTCCAGTACACACAGGAAATAAGAGACTGAGATCTTGATGTCAGTGCCCTTTAGGAGATCAGTGCTATCACAGATGGGAACGGGCACCATGCTGGGAGTCTGGGGAACCCAAGCATAGCCTTAGGGAGTCAGGGAAGGCGTTCTAGTTAGGAGCTGTATCATGGAGGAGTGTGTATCAGGGATGATGTGAGTTTGATGGTTCTGAGGGGCACTCAGGAGGTGGCCAATATCAAGCCTCAGGCATGAGAGAAGATGGACTCGAGCCAGAGACCCTTCATTTGGGGCTCCAGAGTTGGTTTTTGAGGCTCTGTTTGTTCCCTGACTCCAGTTCCTTTTGCCAATAACTTCTTTTCTGTAAAATCTCAGTTTAAGCACCGTCTACTTCAGGAAAAGTTCCCTGACTCTCCAGGCTGGGCTCTCCCTTCTCCAGTGGGTACCTGTGACTAGAGCTGGTCACCGGTGACCTTGTCACAGCAACAAGGGGTTATCTATTTTAAGTCAAAGGCCAGGGAGTGGGAGGAGTGTTAGGTGAGAGACTTCTGCTTGCAGGAGTTTAGCTGCAGCTCTGATAAGCTGGGAAGCTCAGCAGATTTGAGTCCTGGTGCTAGTTACAGGCCCAGTGACCCAGCCACCCTGAACTGACACCTTTTTGCCCATCTTCTGTTTTGTTCCTAGCCTGCCTTCTAAAGAGGAGGAGTTCCTGCCACCATCACTGTTATCCTGTCCCCGAGCAGAGGCTGAGGAGTCCCCATCCACTCTCTCCCAGAGGCCTCCTCAGCCCCCATCTCCACTTCCCAGTCCCCCTGAGATCCCCCCAAAACCTCTGCGCCTCGTCCCAGAGTTTGGTGAGTCCCACAGCCAGGAAGGGGACAGGGCTTTGGCTGGGTCCTCACGGGTTTCAGCCCCTTCAGAGTGTGCAGAGATCAGACTCCTATTTGTGCAGGGCCCAGGAGTTGGATCATTGTTCAGTATCTGAACTTGGCTCTGGTTGGGCCACTGGCCCACCGTGTGATGCTGGGCAAAGTTGCTTAGCCTCTCTGAGTATTTTTCTTCCTCAAAGTGGAGACAAACGCCTATGTGTGACCTGCTCACTGATGTGTGAGAACTTTTGGCAGACGTTCTGAGTTACCAGTGGTTCAAACTCTGGAATATTTTCCATGGTCATGGGTAGTTTGCTTTTCCTAGGGTTATTCATGTTTCTTGATTCTCAGATTATTTTACTTGTTAGCCTTTTTTGGGCAGTCTCCACCCCTTGAAGGTCAGACCTCCCTCAGATAGCAGGCCTCTCCTCTGGCTGCCCCTCTGTACACACCACAAGCCCCTAAGGGTATAAATAGCACTTCCTGTCCTTGTGCCTTTTTTTGAAAGGCTGAGCCAAGAATGGGGGTGGGGGTCTCTAGTGAGCCAGGGGTGGCCTTTATGAAACCAGGCTAGGTACCTTGGGAAAGGAGGACAGGCTCCTTGCTTCTGAGTCTCCCCCAACCCCTGTTTTTCCCAGATGACTCTGACTACGATGAGGTCCCAGAGGAGGGGCCAGGGGCCCCAGCCAGCGTGATGACCAAGAAGGTGGGGCAGGGCAGTGGCCAAGGGCTGGTTTGTCTGTCTGTCTGCATTTTGGGAGGGAAGGAGGGCTGCCTAGCTCCCTTTCAGACCTTGGGTGCTCTGGAGTTGCTCTAGGACCCCAATCCTGGGGACCACCCAAAAGAAAATGGGGCAGCCATTTCCCAGGAGGGTTTCCTTCTCCTTCTCTTAATTGTCTGGCCAAACAAGGGTGGGGTCAAACATAGTCCCAGAACCCCCGGTCCAGGGACCTCGGGCTGTGATCTGGAGTGCTAACTCTAGTCTTTGGCTGCATCTGACTGTGTGTGCCCCCTTGCCTGTGTTCGGAGCATGTCCATCTTGCAATGTCTGTTTCACTTTCTATACTCCCGTGTCACCTTCTCTCAGTGTCTTATTTCCTTTCCTGAGTCTCCTTCTTGATCCCTTTGTCGTCTTTTCTTTGTTTCCGTCCCAGGTCTGTGTCTGCAGCTGATCCTTTCTGTCTCTGTGACCCTGCTGTGGGGCTGGGGGGTATGTGGGAGGAAACACAGTAAAAGTACTGAATTGTCTGGGTTGGGGATAGCATGGGCAGAGGGGTGCGGTAGCTCCTGGGTGGGTATGATCTGGGACATGAGGGGAAGCATGACGCTGAGGGTTCTGGGAGGGGCAGGAGGAGCCCCCACCGAGCCGAGTCCCACGGGCCGTCCGCGTGGCCAGTCTGCTGAGCGAAGGGGAAGAGCTGTCAGGGGACGACCAAGGGGATGAGGATGAGGATGACAACTCCTACAAGGGCCTCCCCAAGTGAGTGTCCTCCCATCCTGTGTGGTTCGCCCACCTAGCATCCTCCTTCCTCAAGCCCTGCCCAGACTCTGCCCTCCCACTTCCTGGGCACTTTGCCTTGGGAGCCCCTGCCTGGTCCCCAGGAATAACCATGTGGCCCTTGGTGCACATATTCTCTCTCCTCTTCCCCAAGTGGTGAATGGCACACTGGTATCCTGAACTTGCCCTTGTCCAGCAGCCCCCGGATCCCTGAGTTCCCACCTCACCCCATGGATGGACTTCCTGGGGGTTCCACCCCCATCACACCGGTCATCAAGGCTGGCTGGCTGGACAAGAACCCACCACAGGGGTGAGTGAGGCTTTCAGGTCCCTCTGATGGTCTGCACGAGATAGGCAGTGCCCAGGGTACTGGTATCTAGGCTCCATAACAAGTGGGGCTGAGGTGGTTTATGCAGGCCTCCCTTTAGCCTGACCGTGACTGCCTGTTTTCTCCATTATCCCTGTTGCTTTCTGTCTCACTTCAGTTACTCTTACAGCGCAGGCCTGTTTTCTTCTCAGGGGCCATTCGAAACGTTTCCTCCCTTTACCTGGCTGTAGCTAATGCTGCGTTTGGTAGTCAGGGGGGCCTGGAACCTCTTATTGCTGTTTTCCCTCCACCTGTCTCTCTAGATCTTACATCTATCAGAAGCGATGGGTGAGACTGGATGCTGAGTACCTGCGTTACTTCGATAGTAACAAGGTAAGGCCTGCTTTCGTTGCTTGGCCGACCACTGCCTACCCTGACCTGAACCTCACCCTATACAGAACCCCAAACCTCGACCGAGGTGGAATCCCTCTATAATTGAGTCCTGGCCAGAGTCCTGCAGTGGGATATAGTCAGCATCCTTGACCACTGTGGGAAACAAGGCTGCAGCCTTCCTTGAGCTTGAGGGGAGCCAGAGGGGCTGGACCTGGAAACCTTGCCTTAATCTCTAGCCCAATCTCTCTCTGCTTTCTAGGATGCCTACTCCAAGCGCTTTGTCCCTGTGGCCTGCATCTCCCGAGTGGCTGCCATTGGGGACCAGAAGTTTGAAGTGATCACAAACAACCGGACCTTTGCCTTCCGGGCAGAGAGTGACGGTGGGGAGTGGGATGTAGGGAAAGGAGGATTGGGACGGGGGAGAGAGGACAGGCGGTGTGGCCAGAGAAAGGGGAAGGAACCAGTGTGTATCTATTTCCACCCCACCTCCCCTATTAACCCAGAGCAGAGTGGCTTTATGAGGTAGAGGAGGGAGAGGACTCCCTCTTTGGCAGACTTTGTGCTCTAGACAGTTCCCAAGTCCTCGGGAAACCAGGCTCAGAGAGGTAAAGTGATTTTCCCACTGCAAGTGACACAGATGGGATTAGAGCCTGAGCTTGTCCAGAGTGAACTCAGGCAGAGTAATAGGTGGGTCAGTCCGGATGGGCTTCCTGGTGGAGGTGTTGCCTGAGGAGCCAGTGAATTCCATGGGACTTCTGGCCAGCCTGAGCTTGGACTCATTCTCTGTCTTTTGTCATCAGCTGAACGGAAGGAGTGGATGCAAGCGCTGCAGCAGGTTGTGGCTGATCAGCGTGCCCGGGTCCGACTCTCTAATGCCTGTTTGTCAGGAGTTCAAGGCTCAGAGCTGCCTGACCACTCAGGCAGTCTAGAGCTACGTGGCTTTAAAAATAAGCTGTATGTGGCCATAGTCGGGGACAAAGTGCAACTCTACAAGAATCTGGAGGTGCGAGGGGTTCTCCCAGGTCATTGACCACCCCCAATTAATCTGATCTTTCAGCCCTACCTGTGCCTACCTGGGCCTCAACCCACCTCATATCCATGCTCTGACTCTGCCTCATTTTGTGCCTGTCCTGTGTGCTTATCCCCACCTGGTCCCACAGTCCCATGCTATATCCATCCTGGACCTACACCCCATTTCCTTTCCCTCCTTGCACTAAGCTCAGCGCCTTACTTGTCTCTACTTCTGACCCCCAAATCTGACCCATCTCCTGTATCCTCACTGGGCTGACCCTGTGGCCTACTTGGCCCTGATTAAAGTGCTTATATTGCTGAACCTCCCCAGCTCCTTCCTAGGTCCTTACAAGTCCCAAAGTACCACTCCACCTTCAGCCCTGTCCTGAAGCTTTGCTGTACCTCTCTAACCCCTGCCCACCTACCTACCAGGAATATCACCTCGGCATTGGCATCACCTTCATTGACATGAGCGTGGGCAATGTCAAGGAAGTGGACCGGCGCAGCTTTGACCTCACCACCCCCTACCGCATCTTCAGGTGAGCCCCCCCCCAGCACCTGAGTCCTCTTTCACCACTACACACTTCAGCACCCCCTCCCATTGCCATACACCCCAGTGACCTCTCTCATTCCACACCTCCTTGGATAGTGTGGGAGTTGCTCCTTTGCCCTCTGGGATGGAGTTGTTCTCCCTCCTGGGCCCTCCACTGCTCTGTGGGTGCTTTATATTCATAGATCTTCTGATTGCCTCTTCTCTGTATCCCCTTCTTCTCTGCTGTCACTGAACCCCTTCTCACCATACTTCTCACAAGTACGGACTGGCTTTCTGCATCATCCACTGCCTCCACCAGCCTGCCCTGACTTCCGGACATGCCCTTGTTTATCATTAACACCGTCCCATCATGATAGGCAGCTCTTCACTCTCAGTCTTGTGGGGTCCGGCCTGGGTACTCAACCAAGAGTCTGTTTTCTTGGTGGCCTCTGATCTCAGCTGTCCCTTCTGATGCCTGTTTCTGTCCTCTGCCTTACCCACTGCACTGCCTGGGTTCAGCTCTTGGGTCAGTATCCAACCAGCTGGTGACCTAGACAAATCACTTGGCCTCTCTGTGCCTCAGTTTCCTCCTCTGGGAAGTAGAAATCTTGTAATCATTATAAAGCTGCATATCTGATAGTGTGTAGTAACGGCTTAGTAAACACCAATATCACCACCATCATCATCATTTCTGGGTCCCTAGCCCAGCTCTGTCTTCAGCTCGATTTTTCTTTTGAATTCAAGACTTGCATTCCAAACTCTTATTTTATGAACATCTCTTCTTTTCTACTTTTTCCTCAACTCACTGTTCCTCCCAGCCTCCTGTTCCATTTGTGTGGGTCCCTGCCTCTCATACTTGGCCCTGTGCAGATCCAGCACCATCACATATCTTGTGTTTGTGTTCTCCTGTCTCCTGCCCCTGTACCACTTTGGCTGAGGTCTGTGGACCCTCCAATCCAGCGTGCCTACTTCTTCACCCCTTGGCTTCTTGTCTTAGGCCTTTTGGTCTGAACACTGTGACTGTCACTCTGTAAAGAACTCCAACTTTTTCACCTGCTAAGTCCTCACCCTGTCAAGCCTTAGTGCAGATGTCATTTCTTCCCAGTAGTCTTCTTCACCCCTTGGACTAGGTCAGAGTCCCTCGACTCTCCCCCAACCCCATCTATCTCTCAGGGATTTGTTGCCCTGCCCTCCTCGTGTTGACCTTCCTACCACACCCAGGATGCGTCCCTCTTCTGACCAAGAGCCTTGTCTCCTGCTCCACTTTATGTTGATGCTGAACCCCAACCCCTCCAAGCCCTTTCTTACCTGTACCCTAACTCCTTTGTCTTCAGCTTCCTGACTGATTCGGAGCTAGAGAAGGAGCAGTGGCTGGAGGCCATGCAGGGAGCTATTGCTGAAGCCCTGTCCACCTCGGAGGTGACTGAGCGCATATGGACTGTGGCCCCCAACAGGTTCTGTGCCGACTGCGGGGCTGCCCAGCCTGACTGGGCTTCTATCAACCTCTGTGTCGTCATCTGCAAGCGCTGTGCAGGTGTGTGGGGACATGGCAGGCAGGTAACCCAGCTGGCTGGAGGGGCGAGAGTGAAAAGCCACCATTTGTGAAGTTCTTGTTGCAAAGCTTTTCCTATTGTGATTAACCTTTAGTCCTTACATGACGTTGCAAGGCAGGATCTTGACTTCCCACATTATAGATCGGGAAACTGAGGTGTGGAGAGGGAAAGCTTATTTAGAGTCATCTGGAGTCTTTCAGTTCAGACCTATTGTAGTCTGGTGCTCTATCACATCAGAGGAGAGAGGCTGGCATGAAGAGAGGAAGCAAGCATCTTATTTTGGAAGTCAGAAGTGGGCATTAAACTATGGAGAGATGAGATCAGATTTGTGGGTCAAACACTACCTAGATGCTGAAGTCAAGAAGGTGGGATTGGAAACTAAAGAGGATCCAGGAGAGAGGAGGAGAGCCAGTCCAGGGAAGGGTTGAAGAGCATTAAAGGGTTGTTCCAGATGAGCAGGATGAAAAAGAGTGAGTAGAGCCTAAGATCCATTCTTCCATTCAGCCAGCATCTGAGGGTCTTCTGTGTACCAGACACTGTGCTGGTTCTGGGGATCTAGCCCTCCTAGAAGCTGGCACTGCTCAGGTGGTGACGGGAGGATGTTCGTTAGGAGTAGGAACAGGTCCAGGGAAAGTTACGGCTCTCAGTGAAGAAGGCTGAGACCTGAGACAATTAGGACAAGTGTCCAGAATCCTTGGACCAAGATGTCTGGACGAAGGAACACAATGATCTGATTAGAGCTCCTAATTAGTGATCATTGGCTCATGCAGGGAAAACAATGACAAAGTAGAGGAGTGCTCCAGTAGACGTGGAGGGAGGAGAGGCTTAGGCATCTCCTGTATCCCCAGCTCTTCTCCCCACACTAGTGGGGCCTATAGTAGAGTGAAGCTTCATTCCCTCTAACTCCACTTCCCTATTTCCCCTTTCATTCCACAGAAATTTACCAAGTGCCTGCTGGGTGCTGGGCTCTGCTATAGGCACCGAGGAGAAAGCCCTAAATCAGGCAGTCATGGTTACGGTTCCCATGGAACTTAAGTCTAGTGGGGAGAGGCAGAAAATGTGTATACAAACCAAGAGAAGTATTTGGTAATCCAAGTCCTGGCAGGGAATATGCTGTTTGTCAGAGAAGCTCTCTTCAGAGGTGACTCTGAATGAAAAGGAGGCAGTGGAGAAAGCACAGTGCGTGCAAGACCCTGAGGGGGGTCTCAGCATCACGTGGAAAAGGAGGGTGTGGTTGAGCCAAGTGAGCCTGTGGGATACTGGCAGTGGTGATGTGAGGTCAGAGCGGGAGTCAGGTGGGTCTAATGGAGATCTAATTTTGGGAGCCACAGGAAAGTTTAAAGCAACGATTTGGAGTGAGAGGATTTGTATTTTTTTAAGAGATTCTGGAAGCTGTGAGGGAGTGATGTATTGGAGGTCCAGCACTGCCTTCAAGGAGCCAGGTTGAGGCTGGTACTTAGTCAGGTGGGATATTTTTTAGTCTTCTGAGTAGGGGTGAATGGCTGGATTCTTCAGTAGCTGTGTAAAATTTGGAGCTGCTGGCTTGGTCCAGCTTATATCCCTTAAGGTCTGGGGCTAGCTGATTGCCAGGTAAACAGAAGAACAACCCCTGGGTCTGTTCCTCTGGCTGCAGGGGAGCACCGTGGCCTGGGCGCTGGCATCTCCAAGGTGCGGAGTCTGAAGATGGATAGGAAGGTGTGGACGGAAACACTCATCGAGGTGCAGTACCCCGGCTTTCCACTTGTCCCTGGGGTCTGCCCCATTTAGCTGCTGCCTAAGTCTCCCAGTCCCTCCCCCAGACCCTGCCTCATCCCGCGGCTGTCATCACCCTGAAGCTATATGAGACCTTTGAGATTATTTAGTGGGTGGGATTGTGGAAAGGCTGATTACCTGCAAAGTCATCAAACTATGGTCTGCAAGCTAAGCATGATTTTACATTTTTAAAGGGTTGTTAAAAACAAAACAAATGAAAAACATATAACTGAATGTGTCCTACAAAACCTAAAATATTTATTGTTTGGCTCTTTATTTCTGCTACCTTCTGCTCTAATTTAACTCTTACTCCATTGTTGAGATGCAAAAACTGAGGTCCTCTATAGGACTATAATCTGCCTATGGTTACCTGTTGGATCTATATTGACTACCCAGCTCTGCCCCTTTCCATCGACTGCCTGACTGGCCCAGGGCCTCCTCCCCTTTCTTGTATCTTCCTCAGGGCCTCCCACTCTGCAGCTCATGTATACCCATGGGTGATTTAATTATGTATATCTTAGCATATACACACATATGTGTATTTGTGCCTGAGTACTTGGGGTTCCCAAGTTCTGATATGTGTGGTAGTTACAGGGAGAACATGGAATAAGAGGTTAGGCCCTGGTACCTATCAGAACATTCCTGAGAGACTTCTCAGTTGCAGACTCTAGGGCAATTTGAGAGTCAAGTCCTCATCTGTTTGGCACATAAATACTAGAGCATTTGCATATGATAGTTAATCTACCTTCAAATCAAGCTTGAGAGTTCCAGTTGCAGTCCTTACTTTACAGATGAAAATACTGAGGCCACAGGAGAGAAAATGACTTGCCCCAAGTCAGAGTGACCAGGGAGTGAGAAATAGGAGGGACTTGAGCAGTATGTCTTAGATCCCTGTACCCACCCAGGAGACAGTAGGATTGCTCCCTCTTTGTTCTCTGCTGTTATCCCAGCACCTTGCATTGGGCCTGATAAAAAAGCAAGATAAAGGGGACACAGGAAATCGTTATGGAATAAATGACTAGCATAGTGGAAGAATAAATCAACCAGTTCCCCAAATGCTGGATCCTTGGGCCCATCCAGAATCTGCCCCTACCCCTTCTAGAGAGGAATGTCAGAGACAGGAAGTTTTCAGAATCTCTGTTCACCCTGTTGGCTGACAGGAGAGACAGCCCCCTCCAGCTCTGATAGTCTTAGGAATACAAACTTCCAGATGTGGGCCTGGGTAGGGCCATAGCAAGTTCCCACCCCCAGTTCCTACTGAGGCGCCAGGACTGGGGCGTCCACCTGTCAGGCTGTCTGCCTCTTGTCCTGTCACTGTGCTCAGACACTGGGCTCAGAGCCCAGGTCTAGTGGGGGAAGCACACAGGGCCACACCAGGCCAGGCAATGCCTCAGCTTTTCCATTGGGAAAGTGGGCGGATGGTTTGGCTCTCCCATTTCCTTGCCTGACAAGCTCAGAAACAAAGACTTTTGCCTGACTAGGCCCTGACCATGGTCTGCCACCTTTAACCTCTCGCCTGTGCCCACAGCTCTTCTTACAACTGGGCAATGATGCCGGTAACCGCTTCTGGGCAGCCAATGTTCCCCCCAGTGAGGCCCTGCAGCCCAGCAGCAGCCCTGGTGCCCGGCGGCACCATCTAGAGGCCAAGTATCGTGAGGGCAAGTACCGCCGCTACCACCCGCTCTTCGGCAACCAGGAGGAGCTGGACAAGGTGGGCACTGTGCCTCGGTGGCCCTGGAATAGCCCCCTTTGTTCCTGCACTAGTCCCCTTGAGACCACTGGCTGGGACCTCCTTTCTTGTTTGCCATATTGCCCTTACCCTATCTCAGTACATCTTTTCTGTGAGTAGAGTGATGAGCTGGTATATGGGAAAACTGAGGCTCAGAGGGTAACAGGTCCCACATATAATAAGCATGGAGAATTGGAGCCAAACAGAGGAGGTGGACCTGACCCTTGGGCCATGTCCATGTCCCCAGCATGTGTGACTCTCTCTGCAGCCCCTCTCCCCTCCCCATCCTTCCTGATTCTTCTGTCTCCAGCACCCTGTCCTGTTCCTTCTGAGTCCTGCCAAAAGGAGTGAACTCAATGGGGATGCTATTTCCCGTCAGGCTCATGAAAAACAGCTGGCCCGCTCTGACCCATCTCCACCCCACACCCTTGAAGGAGAGGCCCTGTGTGGGCCCCAGGCCCCCACAGGCTGGGAGCCAACCCTTGGGCCTTGATCTGACTGGGCCTGCACAGATGACATTCTGCTCTGAGGCAGGGGGATGCCACTTGTGACCTTTTAGCCTTCAGCTTTCCCCACCCCCAAACAAACTCCACCCTGGCAGGCTCCCTTCAGCTCCCAGTGGGGAGCCAGACCTCCACCTCTCTGGGACCCAGGCGTCCAGCCCCCAGCCCAGCCCAGTCTAGTCCGCCACCCGCCACCCGGGAGGGGCAGTAGCTCCTATTGGTTAGGAGGGCTGGGCAGGCAGTGAGGAATTCAAATGTGGGAGGAATTAACTGCAAAACACAACTCCCCACTCCCCCATCGCCCCTCCACAAGACAGAGTTTGAGATCTAGAGAGCAAGACTAGGTGGTTCTCTGGGGCCCTCAGCGGAGGTGAGGCCAGGCTGCTGGGACCCCAGCCTCTGTTAGGCAGCTGGCCACCATCTTCCCTTTGCCCTTTTTCTTGCTTCTCCTGACTTTCTGTCTTCCTGTTCTGTTTTACACAAAGGACCTTGTCCCTCTCCTGTCTTCCTTACTTCCTCATTCCCTGCTTCCCTTACTCCCAGTTTGACCGGCCCTTCTCTCCTCTCCTCTCCTCTCCTCTCCTAGGCCCTGTGTGCCGCAGTCACCACCACAGACCTGGCTGAGACCCAGGCACTTCTGGGCTGTGGGGCCGGGGTTAGCTGCTTCTCGGGGGACCCTGACACTCCCACGCCCCTGGCTCTTGCTGAGCAGGCAGGACAGATACTGCAGATGGAATTCCTTCGGAATAACCGGTCCACAGGTGAGCGGCTGGTGGGACTGCCACCACTGAGAATGGGGTCTCCTTATGCCAGGATTGAGCTCTTGGGAGCTGGGGTAGGTAGGCAAAGGGTGGGACTTATTTACATACTATCCTAAAGCAGTCAGGAAATCAAAAAGCGTATCATGATGGGAAAGTCTGCTTTTAGGGACGTCTCTAAAGTACTGAGGAGCAATGGTGTCTCTCTGGAGACTAAGGTGCGTCTGATACAGGCCATGGTCTTTGCAATCGCTTGTTATGCATCAGAGAGTTGTACAATGACTAGGGAGGACAGAAGGAGAGTTGATGCTTTTGAGTTGTGGTGCTGGAGAAGAGTACTGAATGGACCATGGACTGCCAGGAAAACAAACAGATTCATCTTGGAGAGGATTAAACCAAGCTACTCCTTGGAGGCAAGGATTCTGGGGCTTCGTCTGACATACTTTGGACATGTTGCCAGGAGGGACGGGTCCTTGGAGAGGGACATCATGCTTGGGAGGGTGGAGGGACAGCACAGGAGGGGAAGACCCTCTTTGAGATGGATTGATTCGGTGACTGGGGTAATTGGGATGGGTGTGTCAGAGGCAGGCAGTTGGCGCAGGATAGAGCAGGGTTTAGGGCTGTTGTGCATAGGGTTGCTATGAGTCGTAAACGACTGGACGGCACATAACAACAACAACAATCCTAAAGCTGGGATGAGGGCCGTGGATGCAAAAGTATAAGAGAGAGAAAGTGTGTGTATGTGAGCGTGCACACATGCGCGTGTGCATCAATGCATGTTTGTGCCTTTCTTCATATGTATGCCGTTGTGTCTCTGCTTCCTACTGTGGTGCATTGGTTGTCCCTTTCTGACTTATAGTGTGGGCTACTCTGGGAGGCAGCCATGCCGTGTGCCGCTCTTTGCACCTGGAAGTTGGCAGGTGTCTGTGTGTGTGCATTGTGAGGTGGTGGTGTGTTTCCCCGGTGCATGGAGTGACCCATCACAGCAGGCCTGCCCGCTACTCCTCTTGGGGTAGCATTCCGTCATGGACTGGGGTTTGTCCCGTTTGACTTCTATTCTCAGTGGGTGAGGAAGGAGTGAGGGGATGAGTGATGCTGGTCACAGCCAGGCCTGGCCTCTAGGGCCACATCCCAGCCCTGAGGGTGGAGTTTAGAGACTGGGGCTCTGGGCTTCAGGCCATCAGCGGGTGGGGCATGCTGGGCTGGAGAACGCCCAGGTGTCTGAGGAGGCATAAAAGACCACCCAGCTGGAGTGTTTTGGGAGGGTCGGGGCCCATACTGCTGGGAGTAGAGCTGGTGCCAGACTGCTTTCTTTGGCTTCATACCATCTGGATCTAGCCTCTGACCAGCACTGGATGTGTCCCAGACCTGTCTCATCTGAGTGTATCTGGCCTTGTGCCTCTAACAGGGAGAGTAGGGGGGATGGGGACTCAGGGATGCTTCTGCAAAGAGAAGTACTAGGGTTGGGCCTTGAAGACAGGGTAGAACTTCCATAGGTGGTAGAAGGTAGAGAAATGGCGTATGTGAACCCCTCGAGATGGCAGTGAGCACCTGCCGTGTCAGGAAGTGTCCCTGTCAGGAAGCCAGGGAGGGAGCTGGGGCTTGAAAAGGAGGGAACTTGAAAGGAAGCCTGGTTGTCCAGCCTAGGTGGGGGTGAGGTGGGCTTACCCTCAGATGGCAAGCATGACCATCCATTTCTTCCTCCCCCTGCAAAGAGGTCCCTCGACTGGACTCAGGGAAGCCCCTGGAGAAGCACTACTCAGTTGTCCTGCCCACTGTGAGCCACAGTGGGTTCCTCTACAAGACTGCTTCTGCTGGCAAGCCACTGCAGGATCGCCGTGCCCGAGAAGGTGGGTGCTTGCCAGGTGCCTCTCTGACCCCCAGGCCTGGCATGACTACAGGGCCGCGGAAGCCAGAGTGGACCCATCATGGGGCCATGTGAACTCTGGCAGTCACTCTGGAGAGCATTCTGGCTGTGGTCTCTGGTATACAGTAAATACTTAGTGAACAGACTAATTGAAGGTGACGGTGGGACTTCAGAGCAGGTCAGGGCCAGTGTTTCCTACAAAGTACAAAAAGCTTCATGGGGTGTGGATCCTGGGCTCGCATCTAGTATTAGGAGCCTGTGGATGGTGGTAAGTCTGAGGACAGAGCTTAAAGCCCCTTTGATCTTGGCCTTCCAGTGCTGGGTGGAATCCAGGGTCCACATCCCCATGAACTGAATGACTGCAGTCTCCATGCCATTGTCCCTGACCTGGCTCCCTTTGCTTACAGGCTGTTCTTGCCCCCTTGCTCCTTCTCATGTTTAGCACAGCCACTCCCACAAGGACCTGCTGCTGCCTGATGTTGCCTAAGTGCCATCGAGTGCACTACAACTCTTAATGACCTTGTGTACAACAGATCAAAACCTTGTCCAACCCCACACCATCCCCAAATAGCTGTGTGGTTAGTCCCTCACTTCAATCAGGCCTTTATTTAAAGTGTCAATTCCTAAGAGACATTGTCTGTATCTCCCTGTCTATTTATCCAAAACAGCGCCCAAATCCCCTTCTCTTACTTTATTTTTTACACTACTTACCTGATATTCTCTCTTTATGTGTATACCTGTCAATCCTCTGCACACCACTGAGGCATGAGCTCCTTGGCCATCACTCTGAACAGTGCCTAGTCCATAAGCTGGTACTTGACAAATGTCTGTGTGGTGAGGTCTGTAAGGCAGAGACATTCCACAAGTGAGCCTAGCCTTGGGGAAGACTTGGGGACCCATTGCCCTTACATGGCATTGTCACACCTTTATAGACAGGATGACATCTGTTACGGGAACCCTGTTGAGGGCATTGCCCACCGTATCCCTGAGCACCTCTCCCTGCCAGAGGGAGCTTTTTGGTTCTCTAGCATTCATTACCTCACTTCCTCTGGGGTCCGTCCCCCCCACCCCCGGATTTACTTCCCTCCTGATGTTGTTTATATAACTGCCTGAGTCATCCTTATTTGTCCTGGGTTCCAGGAAGCTCTGAGCCAGTGTGAAGCTCATTGTAAACTGTCTGAGCCAGCATGACCTTGGTGTCCTGTTCCTGGTCAGGTTGCCATTTCTGTTTCTCTCATGCGGTCTTGTCAGTCTACTCAGGCATGATAAAGGAGGACAGGGTATAGAGGCACGAGCGCTGCTGCCAAGGGTGAGAGCAGCAGTTAAGCCAGCTAGAAGATGGGGCATGGGAGGCTTCCTGTGGCATTTGGGCTACTCATCCTTGAAGGATATGTAGAAAACAGACAAAAGGCTGTGGGTGGAGAGAACAAAGTCAGCAAAACAGAGCAGGGTGTGCCCCAGGAGTGGTCAGCCTTGGCTGCAGAGGTGGCAGGGCAGACCCATGAAGGGCCTTGAACACCAGGCTGAGAGGCATAGACTTTGTCCTGTGGACAGAGGGAGGCTGTGGAAAGGTTTTAAATAGAGTAATAATGGAGTTTTACTTTAGCTAGGTCACTTTTGGTTCTCAGAAGAAGTGAGGCTGGAGTCTGAGAGACCAGTGAGGCCACTGTGAAGGCCCAGGGGATTGGATGATGTATGGGCTGAGTTATGGAAGGAGGTGGAGTAAGGCTGATGGACATCGTAACAGTGTGTCTACATTGGAGTGAAGGAATGTGGGGGACTAGGGAAGATGCAGAGGTGGTCTTCAGGCCAAGGTGCAGGCTAGGCTTCAGCATGGCTCTGTTGTTCAACCTCTCCTCAGAGTTCAGCCGACGCTGGTGTGTCCTTAGCGACGGGGTCCTGAGCTACTACGAGAATGAGCGGGCAGTGACACCCAATGGGGAGATTCGAGCCAGCGAGATCGTGTGCCTGGCAGTGCCCCCGCCGGATACTCATGGGTGAGCACCCCCAGGCAGAATCACACATATCTGTTGCTGAAAGGTCTGAAGCCTTGCTGGGGAGCTGGAAACAGCCAGAGGAGCAGGCCATCCCAGGTCACACAGGAAGCAAGGGCAGAACCAGCCCCAGCCCAGAGCTTTCCCCCCATCTCTTAGGCAACCAGGAGAAAGGCGGGCAGAGAGGGAAGTGTGGAGGTGGCAGAGAGATGGGATGGAGTCAGCTGGGGCAAGAAGAGTGGACCTGAGTCCTAGTCTTGTTTCTACAGCTTTGAGCACACCTTTGAGGTATACACAGAGGGAGAGCGGCTATATCTGTTCGGGCTGGAGAGTGCGACACTGGCTTGTGAGTGGGTCAAGTGCATTGCCAAGGTGGGTCTGGCTTAGTAGACCGATGTGGGGGAACCTGGAAGGGTATAGGTTGAGGCCTCATGATGGACAATGGGAAAAGCAGAGCCTGTTCCCCAAATCCCTCATCTGCTAGAGCAGGGACTGCATGGAGGGCAGCAGAGATGGTTTGAGATTCTCTAGCCCAGGGCCTGGCATAATCTGCAGCCCTCTCAAGTAAGCGAAAGGTCAGGAGGCCACTCTCAGCCCTGGGAAGCTGTCACTCTTAAGCCTTATGTGTCGTTATGTGCCATCAAGTCAGATCCAACCCATAGCAGACTCTTCAGTAGGTTTTCAGAGGCAGTAATTGTCCAGGAGGAGATTGCTCATCTTTCTCTTGTGGAGCAGCTAGTAGTTTCAAACCACACAGCTCCTCACCACTAGGCTACCAGACCTCCCTACACCCTATGGGTCTCAGTGATGTTGGGTAATGACTGAGAGCCAGGGCTGTCTTAGAATGGATGATGCTGCCTCCAGAGGCGAGCTCCTTGCCTCTGAAGTGTGCCATCGCCAGCTGGAGGGAGGAGATCTGCCCTGGGGATTCAAGCCAGGAGTTCTGAGAGCCTGTGACTCTGGTTTGTTGTTCAGCCTCTGAGATTCCATCTTCAGAGGCCTGGGACCTCAGGTGAACCAGTCCTGGTCCCAGATCCTCAATAACCCACAGATTGGTGAGACAGACAGATGAAGTCCAGGCAGCATCAGCTTTTTGTTCGATGCCATGTTCGATGCCACAAGAGAGGGGAAGAGCATTTTGCGATTGTAGTGGCCTAGAGCAGTCATTCCTGGGGCAACGTTCCAGAGGAGAGCACATCTGAGGGATATAGAGGAAGGAGTAGAGTGTGCACCAGGTGGGAGTAGACAGGGTCCACTGTGCTGGGTTCTGACCTGGGAAGAGAACAGGGGGCTGCAGGTGGGACAGGGGCCACTCACACATAAGCGCAGGAGTGAAGATGCCCTGGGTAGGCAGTGGTGTTATCTGATGCATTATCCTCTGCCCTTTCCCAACCCTCTTCCCAGGCGTTTGTGCCTCCGCTGGCTGAGGAACTCCTGACCCGGGACTTTGACCGGCTTGGGCGTCTTCCCTACAAAGCTGGCCTGAGCCTACAGCGGACACAGGAGGGCTGGTTCTCCCTCATTGGCTCTGAGCTCCATGCCATCTTCCCAGAGAGGCCTCGTGAGGAGCCACTGCAGCTACGGAAACTGCAGGAGCTTTGTGCGTGGACCCACCCCAACCTCCAGAGCACCCCTTTTCTGGGTTTCCAGACCCCAGCCCCTCCCTGGAGCCAGCCTGTCCTCTCATGCTCTCCCCTGCCTTTTGGGTACACCTCACTGCTCCCTTAGATTGGTGAATGGGTCCTAGGGGTACGTGTGCCCAGAGTCCTCAGGAGGGACTAGGTTGAGACCCTGAACAAGGCTAGGCCTTACTGTGATTGGCTCCTCCACAGCCATCCAAGGGGACAACGAGAACCAGGTGCTGGTGCTGGTGGAGCGAAGGAGGTGAGCCATGGCCTTCCTTAGGGGCTCTGAGGAGGGGCAGGCAGCCTGACAAACCTGGTCAAGGAAAAGCCCTGTGGCAACTTATGTTCCTGGCTCAGGACACTCTACATCCAAGGGGAACGGCGCCTGGACTTCACTGGCTGGCTAATGGCCATCCAAAAAGCAGCAGCCAGCTCGGGGGATACGCTTTCAGAGCAGCAACTTGGGGACTCGGACATCCCAGTGATCGTGTACCGCTGTGTGGACTACATCACACAATGTGGTGAGCCCTGCCCCCTGCAATAGTCTGCTGTTCCCAGGGAGACCTTCTGCCCCAGAGGTTGTGCTTCCAGGTTCCCTGAATCTCTCTAAAAGCAGCAGTGTGGCCCCACCCCAGGAAGCAATGCTGTAGGCTCCATATCTTTGACCCTGCCCCTCCCCAGGCCTGACCTCAGAGGGCATCTACCGCAAATGTGGGCAGACTTCGAAAACCCAGAGACTCCTGGAGAGCCTGCGGCAGGATGCACGCTCTGTGCACCTTAAGGAGGGCGAGCAGCACGTGGACGATGTCTCCTCAGCTCTCAAGCGCTTCCTGCGGGACCTTCCGGATGGACTCTTTACTCGTGCTCAGCGCCTCGCCTGGCTAGAGGCTTCAGGTGGGCCCCATAGCCCATGCCCACCTGACCCAGCCAGTACTGCCAGCTTGTCCATGCAGACTTCAGGATTCCTTAGCCCCTCCTCCTCCTCATGCTCTCGGACTGGGCACTCCCTAACTGATAGGCTTTAGCCATGCCCGCACTATGCTCCTCATTCCACTGCCACTCCACACAGAGCCAATGTCCCCAGATAGAGAAGCTTTGTCTTTGCTGAATCTCTGGCCTGATGTGACTTGGAGGATGGGCAATGGGGGCTGTCACAGAACAGCAGCAGATTGGCTAGAGGAGTAGGGACAGAGGAGGTGGTTATGGTTACAATGAGGTTCCTGACCTGATCTCTCTCCCCTGACCCAGAGATCGAGGATGATGAGGAGAAGGTCTCTAGGTACCAAGACCTTCTGGCACGGCTGCCCGCAGTCAACCGCGCTACCGTGAAAGCCCTTATCAGCCACCTGTACTGGTGAGGAGCTTTACCATTGTGAGGTTCTGAGGGGATGGATAGAGCTGTATCTTATACACCTAACCTGGTAGGCTGCCCTCCCTCCCCAGTTAGGCTTTAGGGCTATGTGTTGACTTACGGCCTACCCTGATCTTGAACTCTTTATCTCACAGCTTAATTCTTACAGAATAGCAAAGTCGAGGAGGTTTCAGCTTTAGGCGATACTTCTTGCCTTATCTCCCTACTTTCTTGTCCTACTCCTTACCAGTATTCAAGCCACAACCAGAAAAACTGCACTATTGCCCCAATTAGTGATCTCCTTGAGTAGGACATTCCCTGGCCTCACTTGAGTGGCCTGTCTTACACCTATCAGGAATGGGGAAACTGAGTGGGAAATGCTTCACCAGACTCCTCACAGCCTACCTCCTACCCTGTCCAGTGTCCAGTGCTTTTCAGACACGAACCAGATGAACACACACAACCTGGCTATTGTGTTCGGGCCCACGCTCTTCCAGACAGATGGGCAGGATTACAAGGCCGGCCGAGTGGTAGAAGATCTCATCGGCCACTATGTGGTGGTGTTCAATGTGCGCCCTGGCCAGTGGCAGGGAAGGGTAGGGTTGACGTTCCAGGATGTCAGATACCATCCATCTCTGTCACTATCCTATACCCAGGTAGACGAAGAGGAGCTGAGGAAGCAGCGGGAGGAGGTAACTGCCATTGTGAAGATGCGTGTAGCTGGTACTGCCAGTGGTACCCAGGTAAATGACAAGGTCTCGGGTGGAGTGCTTGAGCACCACCCCCAAGGCCACCAGCTAAGCCTTTGTCCCCACAGCATGCTGGTGACTTCATCTGCACTGTGTACCTTGAGGAGAAGGCGGCAGAGACAGAGCAACATATCAAGGTGGGGACCAGGGAGCTAGAAACCAAGGGTCCAGAAGAGGTGGGCTGAGGTAGACACACGTGCAGATGACCAGGGTAACTAGGTTTCCATCTCAAGGAGAATCTTGGATTTGGGGCTTTTTCATTCCCTTCCTCCCCTCCCAACTGATCAGGGCCACTCAGAAACTCTCCAGGACTCCAGAGGACCCTAAGTAGGGTAGGCTCAGCCAGCCCTCAGGTCACATGTCAGTACGACAGAGCTGGGGGTAATCACCCCTTCCTCGGTCCTTGCAGATTCCAGCATCCATGACAGCGGAGGAACTCACCATGGACATCCTGGACCGCAGAAACGTGGGGATCAGGGAGAAGGATTATTGGACCTGTTTTGAGGTCAATGAACGGGAAGAGGCAGGTGGGTGATGATAAGGGTTGGTGCAGAACAGATTGTGATCTGTCCTCTTCCTGTTCCGCAGTCATGGTGACAAGTGAGGCTTGGTGACTGCTCCCTTGCTAACAAAGGCTGTGAGCTCAGTGACAAAGATGATGGTGTGCTGGCGGGCTTTGAGACTTACAACTGAAATGTGGCTGAGGGGGGGAAACAGTAAAGGAAGTAGATGGTATTGGCTACAAAGATATTTCTTGGGTGACAATAAGAGTGATATTGCTAAATTTGGTAATGGAGTTGTGAGTGACACCAGTGTGGGTGATTAACAAGCTAGTGAGTGGTACTGAGCATGCAAGAGGGATAGGATGGTGGTAAATGGTGAGTGTGGCTACCTCTGATGATGTGTGAACTACCATGGTGGTGAAGGTCAAGGTCTGATTGTAAATGTATTTTATGGTGGAGGGTGTTTAACCTAAACATTCAGTGCCAGACACTGAGATGAGCTCAAATGAGCCGCCTCTCACAGGGGTGAGATAGCATACTACCCTCATTCTTATCAAGATGGAGTCAGCTCTTAGCTGACCTTCTGGTGGGCTTTCAGAGGCTGTAAATTTTATAAGAGGAGATTGGCCATTTTTCTCCCACAGAGCAGCCAGGGGATTAAAAACACCCACCTTTGGGTTGGCCATGCAGCTCTTTACCCGCTAGGCCACCACGGCTCTCTGTGATATGAGATAGAAATGTTAATACAGATAAGTCTAATAAATGTACTATTACAGCTGTATTAGCTGCTATGTCATGGAGTTGGAGTTGCTGACTTCAGATCTCCAACCTGGGATGTGAAGGAAAAATTGGGCTTATTGAATGAAGAATGAGACTCAGTGCTCACAGGCAGTGGGATCAGCATCGTTAGAAGCCATGGTGGTTGTGAGCACAGGTTTCAGGGAGCTTGAACTAAAGGTAGAGAGGGAGCTGGATAGAGGGGCAGAGACTAGCCACACAAGACCTAACCACAATGTGGGATTGTGGAAGGATCATAATGGGAGTTATTGGGATTTTGCAAAGATCTCTGCTTGTTGCTGGGTGGAAGGAGGTGGGAATGATTGGGATGAGAATGCTTTCATCCAAGGGAAGACCATAACCTGGGCCAAAGTGGTGGCAGTGAAGATGGACAGAGCAGAGATTACTGATGCAGAGGGTGAGAGGGAAGAGGGTTTCTTTCCAGCCTGAGCAGCATGCCGGCTGAGGGTGCCATTTACTCTGATGGGACCACACAGGGGAAGATCATGGTCTTGACTTTAGACATGCTGAGTATGAGCACCCGTGCTCACAGCCTAGGTGTGTAAAGCCTAAAGCTCATGCATGGGGCGTGGTGGTCATGATGTTGGTGTGCCCTGGTGCTAATGGTTGGTAGGGGTAGCTGGTGACAGTGGATGTGTAGGATCTGTGTGCTGGTCCTCTTGGTGGTGGTGACAGTGGGTCTGACCTCTCCACAGAGCGCCCACTGCACTTTGCGGAGAAAGTCCTGCCAATTCTGCATGGTCTGGGCACAGACAGCTACCTGGTGGTGAAGAAGCACCAGTCCATGGAGGCCATGATGTTGTATTTGGGTAGGTAGTGTCTGCAGGGCCTGAGCAAGCTGGGTGGGTTCCTCCATCCAGAGCCAGGGTGAGATTGGTTGTGCCATGTAAAAGCAGCTAAGGTAGAAGGTACCCAGTGGGCAGATCTCTAAGGAGGAGGCTGGGGCAGGAGGGACAGTTTCCTCATTCTGTGACCCTGCCCAGGGTTTCTGCGTCTGTGGATAGGAGTTGGTGCAGCCATTTCACTCCAGTCCCCTTCCTTAGCCAGCCGTGTAGGTGACACCAAGCATGGCATGATGAAGTTCCGTGAGGACCGCAGTCTTCTGGGGCTGGGCTTGCCCTCTGGTGGCTTCCACGATCGCTACTTCATTCTCAACAGCAGTTGTCTGCGGCTTTACAAGGAGGTCCGGGTGAGTGAGTCCCCATGGGGTCTGTCCTGGGCTGAGCTACACCCTTTCATATGCTCACCTACCCACACATATGCATCGTCCTCGGTCTGCAAGGGGATCTCTGAGAAACCTCTGGAATCTCAGGGCCCCTCTTGCTGTGGCCCTGGGTAGCTCGACGCTGCACCAAGTCCTGGCACCTGGATGCCAGCACAGTACACACATTAACTGTCGCTTGGGCCTAGAACTGGTCACAGTACCCACAAGAACATGTTACATGGTGACAGCTCTGAGTTGTGGCCTGGTATATTCTGTCACCACCTGACTCACACTTCATACTCTGTCTACATGCCAATGTCCCCCCAAACAGACTCCATTATGGCACCCCCACACCCTATTTTGACACCATATAGGCCACTTTCACCATTCACCATTGCACATATGCCTGGCTTTGGGCCTGGAACTCCTTCTGTAACCCTAATCCTCTATCAAACAGAGCCAGAGGCCACGGAGCGGGGCCCCTGAGACTGTGAGTAGCTGTGGGTTGATTGCCAGCTGCCTTACACCACCTGGGGGTCAAGTGAGCTGGGTGGGAGCCAAGAGGACATAGCCAGAGCTCTGACCATCTCCAGGCATGGTTTCCTGTCCCTTTTAAATTGGTCCATGTCTTAGGTACCCGCTTGTTATCCTCACCCCAGACCCAGCATCCTGCCTTCAGGATAGGGTCTACCATCAGTATGATGCTGTAAAATTTTCCACAGGACTCAGCAGTGAAGACTCCCAGACTTAGACTAGAGATCTGCTCCTCATTTTCTTTCACCCCTGGTGCTGCTCTTTTCAACCTTAGAAACCTGGGGTTTTACAGTGTTGCCGTTACTACCCTGCTCCTAAATTGCCAGAGATCACAGAGCCCTGTGGATGGATACTCCCACCATTGGTTGGAGTCCTTTTTGCAGCAGGTCTGACTGCTCAGCCCCTGTTTGCATACCGCAGAGGAGGAGAACCAACCACCTCTCACTCGTGGCTCCCTATCCCTAAAGAGATACTTCTGCCTAGGAATAGGTCCCAGCTTTGTCTCAGGGGCCTGTAGAGACCATGATCTCAAGTCAAGTGATATAGACTGAACTCCGTGGCTGCCCTGCCTGTGTTTGCAGCTCCTTCAGCTTTCATCTCCTGAGGACTTCTGGCCGCGCCTGACTTCCATGGATGGAGCAGGGCAGACCAAGGACACAACCCTCTCTTTTGCACATTATACTTTGTTGACAAAGCTTTGCCTCCTGTATAATCTTATGAGGAATACTTCCTCTTCTTGTTTGTCCTTCTGTGATCACAGCTTCATTTCTAGGCCTGGGAGCCTTGCTCACTCCTGCAGTCAGTCCATCTTTGGTTCTGGGGTGTTATCCCTCCAGCCTTTCCCTCCAGGGTGTTGTCCCACATATCAGGGCAAGATGACCACTGTGGGTAGAGGAGAGGAAGGATGCCTGAAGCACCTGGAAAAGCAGCTGCTAACTCTTAGCTTGGAGGGGAGAGGAGTGTAGAACTAGAAAAATGATACAAATCCAGGGCTCTCAAGTCAGGCTGGGTGTCAGCCCTTCAGTGCTCCTCACCACAGCCCTGTGGGGAAGAATGTTGCCTCTTCTTTAACAGGTGAAAAAACAAGCTTCAGGTGACTCACCAGAGGCCATTACTGGGTAGTAAGCCAAGATTTGTACTCATGTTTTTTAGATTACCACTAAACCCTAACTTTATATCCTTAGAAGTAGAGGAACTTAGGGACCAAGGGAGGTAGCTGTTAACCTAGGGTAAACGAGCCTTTCCACACCCCATAGACAGTACCTCTTGCTTAACAGAAGGCATTAGTGATTCTGATATTTCATGGCTTAGGAGCACCATGGCTTAGGGAGCACTGGTGGCCTACTGGCAAGGAATTGCATTACCAACCTGAAGGCATATGATTCAAACCCACTAACTGCTCTGTAGGAGAAAGATGGACATTCTCCTCTCGTGTGATTTACAGCCTCTGAAAACCCCTTGGAGAATCAGCTATGAGTCAGCTCTGACTCGACAGGACTAGTAACAATACCATTGGCACCAGCACAGGACATTTCAACTTGAGACCTTCACAGGCAGTTCAGGCTTTGTGGCCATCCTGAAGGTTTCCCTTAAAGACCCTAAGGCACCTAGGAAAGGTATATTCAAAAAAAATCTCAGTTCAAGTACAGGTCCTTAAACATCAAAATGTAAAGTTTATTCTTTGCCAGTGACTTCAGAGATGCTGGAAACACAAACTGTTTGATTAGCAATGAAGCTCTTGAAGACGTACATTCCACATTGCACACTGCTCACCCCCAGGACCCTCCCTCACCCTCATCTCCATCCTGCCCTCCTTACACATGCTGCTGGAGCCTGAGGAAGCACAGGGCTGGGCTGTTTACACGGATTCTTCTTAGCCAGTCTGATTTGAATTCTTTCCTTCCCGCAATTCCCTCAGTGCCTTGACTACAGCCTGCATTCCTTTCACACCCACCGCCTTTTCTCTCACTTTGGAATCACTTTACTCCTTGATTCTTGTTCTTGTCCTTCTGCACCCACACCCTGACTTCTCCCAAGCCTGCAGCTGGTTTTGCATCCCCTCAGCCTGCTTCATTATGAACCTGTAGCCCAGTTTCTCATGCTGGGACTACAGCATTGGGTTTTCTAGGTCCGCAGCCTAATCCCTTCTTAGTCTCTGTCTCCATTGTCCCATCCCTGCTCCCTGGTTTCTTGCCGTCACCAGTCTAACCTCAGTGTCCTCAGACTACTTCTGCCTTGATTGCATGCAGGTTTCTTTTTTGTTGCATTCTCTCCATTCCTTGTTTCTCCCACATGTGCAGCCTGATTTCTGTTCCCTGGGTGGCACAGCTGTTTAAGCACTGAGTTGCTGATTGCAAGGTCGGCATTTCAGAAACCCCTTGGAACAGTTCTACTCTGTGCACGTGGGGCGACCCTGAGTCAGAGCCACTCAACAGCAACTAGCACCAATAGGGTGTGAAAACATAGTGCAAAGTCCCTAGTAAGTTCCTCCCGGCCATGTAATTATACTCCTTGCGACAGCACTGAAGTCTCCACCGATACCTAGGCAACCCTGTTTTGGCATCACAGGAAGTCCCTCAATTCCCGGAAATCTTTTTACTTCTGGCCATCCCTTTGTCCCCTCTCCTGCTTAATTCCTGCCAAGGAGCCATGCCTGGTGGTGGTTGGGAGTAATGGTGGGTAACAAGGTGAGGGTGGCTCAGTCTTGGACCTCCAGTTTTGGTTGTAAGTGAGTTTTCCTCTCCTGCTGTTCACCTTGGCACCCTGTTGGCTCCAGAGGTACCTGATGGACAGAAGGCTTAAAACAGATGGCTCCAGGAGCAGGAGAAAGGCTCATTAGCTTGACCTCCCGCCATCCTCTTCCTTGAGATTCATTGTTCCCAACGCCCTGCCTGTGAGCCAGCCTGTTCTTCCCAAGTCCAGACCCATATGCAGAGGCTGGGGCCAGAAGCCAGTACTTTGGTGATCTGGTGCCCTCCCCAGTACATTGGTCTTTTGCTTCCTGATCTAGGCCATTGGGAAGTTCTTCCTTTGGTCTACTCAGTAGCCGTTTGTTTAGCTTCAGCTTGAGGCATTATGGAACCAAATTGCTGGTAACTGCTGACCCCACCATAAGCCTTAATGTTCACACAGTCAACCCTGAAGCCCCGTGGGGTGGAGAGGAGTAAGGAAATAATAATCTAATATAGGCTTGAGCAGCTACATGAGGTGCTCAGATCATACATGCTCATTCCAGTTGGGTGCCTGAGGATTATGTGCAGCAGTTTTCTCTCCACAAATGATCTGATTCAGACCGATGGGACAAGTCAGCTCCAGTTTGCAGGGATGTTGAGAGAGGCTGGGATTTGCTGCTTGAATAGCTGCCTCGAGGACTGAGGGTTGACTGTCTGATGCAGCTCCTGGGAGGGGTGGCACTCCAGGAAGAGATTTGAGTGTGAAGGGCTGGTTGGGCTGGATTGTGAACAGGGGCAGGTATGCCAAGAAGGCTTCCTGGAGGAGATGTCCTGTGCTGGATGCAATGTGGGGCTTAGAGTGGGAGGAGGAAGGTGCTAGCCTAGGGAGGACAGTCCAGTGCCCACCTTGACTGCCCTGTGCTCTCTCTCCCTTTGCCCTTCCACAACCCAGAGTCATCGGCCTGAGAAAGAATGGCCAGTCAAGAGCCTTAAAGTCTACCTTGGGGTGAAAAAGAAACTGCGGCCGCCCACTTGGTAAGCTGGACCAGGCAGCTGGGCCTGCAAGAGTATGGAATCTGCCGAGGCACAGCTGGGAGGCTTGAGCCTGACAGTGGACTCTGAAAGTCATGCACTCTGGTGCATTGGCAATTTCCAAGGTGTAGTCTCCAGGCCACCAACATCAGAATCCCCTGGAGAACACATCAGAACTACACATTCTTAAGCCCTATACAAGACCTACTGACTCATAATTCTGAGGATGGGACCCAGAAATCTATTTTAACACATTCCCCAGGCAACATTGGTGTTTGCGAACCGCTAGTGTGGATTCAGATCTTGTCACTGACTACCTTGGGACCTTTCGGGTTTTTTAAAATTTTTTTATTTTGTGCCATGACTCGGATCCTGGGACCTTTCTTGTGCCTCAGTTTCACATCTTCAGAAAGGGGGAAATAATGGTATATCTGTTCCAAAGTGTAGGCTTTTAAAAGTCCAGTTGTCCATAACCACTGTTAACCCTGTTAATTGCAGTGAGCCATTTTGGCTTCTGAGGCTCTCCTCTTATCAGCTGACTTGTGCTCACTCTCTGGGACTAATGCAGACCTAGCTTGGGGGTGGGGTGGGAAGTGGGGATGGGGCCAAGTGCCTGGAACTGGTGGGAACTGTGAGGGAGAAGCAGAGGTTGTGGCACGTTGTGCTGGTGAAGAGACCCTGCGCTCTGCCACTTGTCCACCTGCCGGGCTCTACCATGGGAAACCTGCGTTTTGAGGTCTCAGCAGCTGTCAGGTGATCCCTTACCCCTTCTTCTACAGCTGGGGCCTCACAGTGGTGCATGAAACGGAGAAACATGAGAAGCAGCAGTGGTGAGTGAGGGCTTTACCCCCGGACCTGGGCTGAGGGGAGGTAGTAGCAACTCCCTCTATTTTTTCCTCTTGTTGTGTACCGTCAAATCAGATCCAGCTGGCACTGGAGGAGATTGCCCCTCTTTCTCCAGCAGAGCATCTGGTGGATTTTAACTGCATGCCTTTGGGAGTGCAGCATGGTTTCTTGCCATTAAGCCACCAGAGCTCTCCAGTGACTCCCTTTTGAATGGGTCGCCTGTCAACTGCCCAGATATCTTGCTGTCCCAAGACCCTAGCTCGAAGGGATGGGCAGGGATCCTTCCTCTGCCTGATCCCTGGCAGTATCCAGACTTGTGCCCTGCCCACAGGTACCTGTGCTGTGATACGCAGATGGAGCTCAGAGAGTGGTTTGCCACCTTCCTCTTCGTGCAGGTACCAGATTTAGAATGTGGGGTAGGCCCTGGGTAGACTTCCATTATGGGTAGTGGGTGTGGTTGTTTCTTCTCTATTTGTGCTTTTTTTTTATTTTTCATTTTTTTTTTATTAGTGTTTTCTATGGCCTCAAGGAGATTGCTCAAACTCAATGCTATCGAGCTGGACCCCACTCCTAACTGACCCTCCCGTGGGTTTTTGGAGGTGGTAGATCACATGGGAGACAATTGTCCATCTTTGTCCCATCTCAGCCATTGGTGGATTTGAATCACCTGAGAGACGATGCCTCTGGACTAGCAGTGCAACTCCCCATGGACTAGGCCACTACAGCTCCCTCGAGGAGATTGAGTTGTTTGGGTTTTTTTTAGTTGGCTTTTAACTCACTTGTTTGTTCACTCAGTAAGTAAGCCTTCCTTTGCTGGTAGCTGCTCCAATCCAGCTTTGACCCAGACATATGAAGGATAAGAGGCCACAGACCAAGACCCTGCCCTCAGGATACTTCCTATGTGGAAAGGAGCATAGGCCCAGAAGTAGTCTGCAGTGGCCCAGTGTCATCAGTGCTCTGATGACAGAGAAGCCTAGCATGTTTGACCTGGTAGTGCAGTGGGTAGACGACTTTACTAACAAAGAGGTTAGAACAACTTATAAGTAGAGAGGACAGTTTAAGCAAACCCTGAACACCTGAAAGAAGATGTTCAATGGAGTGTGAATTAAGAAGCAAGAAGGGCAGAGAGTCAGAAGGAAACTCTTGAAGAGCCTTGAAGGCCAATGCCAGTGTGAACTTGACCCAGCAGGCAGAGAAGATCCTGGTGGTGTTTTAAGCAGAGAGAGTCAGATGCAGGCTTGATCCTGAGAGGGCTCCGTCTTGATAAGTCACTGCAGGTGGAATAGATTAGGGGTGGAGCTTGGAGGTGAGGCCTTTGGTGAGGCAGCTGTGTAGTGACCGAGGACATGGCAAGGCAGGGTAGTGGAGACATGGGAGCCAGAGGGCCTGGGTTAGGTTAAAACAGACATGGTGAAGATTTGTTTTTTATTTTATTTTATTAATTTTTGTACGTGTACCATCAAAGCAGATCTGACTGGTACAGGAGAAGATTGTCCCTCCTCTAGCAGAGCATCTGGTGCATTCAAACCGCACATCTCTGGGATTGCAGTGCAGCTTCTTCTCACTAGGCCACCAGAGCTCCCTTATGTTGAAGATTTTTAAATGAGAACCTATAGTTGTTTCAGGAAATGGGAAAGAATACCACCTGGGCCCCAGCTTTCTTTACTGCCCCTAAGTTCTTTTTCCACAAGCTTCTTGGTAGTCAAGATCTAAAGGGAAACAAATTGGGTCCTGCAGTTCCAGGCCCCTGATAAAATGAAGTGCAGCCTCACTCCTCAGGGAAAAGTGGTTTCTCGACATACGTTCTTGGAAGGGTTTGTGTGGTGGATGCTGTGATGGGAGTTGTTGAGTAACGTAGCTGGGCTGTGTTTGCCAAGGATACAGTCATGCTCTCCTAACAGCTGCTTCTCATATTGTTGGAGATCAAAGTTGAGGGTGTCACCTCAGATCACAACTGAGGAATTTCTGGGAAGGGTGGGTGGATTCGATGCTGAATGGCTGGGTGAGCTGAAGCTGAGCCCTCTTCTTCTCCCCTGCTGTCTAGCACGATGGCCTAGTGTGGCCCTCGGAGCCTTCACGTGTGTCTCGGGCGGTGCCTGAGGTCCGGCTAGGCAGTGTTTCACTGATCCCGCTGCGTGGCAGTGAGAATGAGATGCGCCGAAGCGTGGCTGCCTTTGCCTCGGACCCCTTGTCTGTGAGTCAGTGGCCATCCCTAAGGGCAGAGGTGTGGGTGGCACCTGGCACCTCGTGACACACCTGTTTCTTCTGAGTCCCCTCCAACCACCTCCTTATACCCTTAGGTGAAGAACAGTAGGCCCTATGGTTCACAAGGTTCCTAGGAGCCCCATATACCTGAGCTGACTTGAGTACTCCCTTGCAGGGGCTAGAGAATGGCTGCAGAATTTTCCAGAAGGCTCTGGCCCAAGCACCTTCATGAAGTACCGAAGTAATCTGGGTTCTCTATCTTTCCACAGCTTCTCCGAAATGTCTGAGCATAGGAGCTGAACACCCCTGCGATGGGTTCGGCCACAGCGAGTCGGTCTTCCTGCCCTGACAGCCCCTGTGCCCCATGTGCCTGGTGTGAGCCAGCAGGGGGCGCATGAGGAAGCCAGTTCCCAACATCCCAGCCCTGACTGCAGCATAAGGTGCCCTGGCTGTGGGGCCAACAGCCTGCCTTACCTGCTCTGTACAGGAGCTTGACACTCCTAGCCTGACCTAGCCACCCTTGGCACCACCTGGAGTTTGCGGGTTTGGAGAAATGGATATATATCAGGAATTCCGGAGGATCCCCATCCTTTCAGAGACTAGAGGCCCTGGGCCCCCTGCTGGAAGGGAACCCACCCTGCCATCAATTCTAGGACAGCACACAGTGTGTGATCTGAGGGCACACTCAACTGGGAGGCGGCAACTCTTGGGTGAGCTTCTGTAGGACCAGGAGCTGGACTTTGGGGGCTCCAGTCCCCCTTCTTCTGGGCTGACTAGAAGGACCAAGGCTGCCCAGTGCCCTTCCCCTCCTTTGGGAGCTTTTTGATAATATAAATATATCTGTATATTTTATCCTAAGGCCTGTGTTTGGTTGAGGGGACCAGACATCTTGCAGTTGGAGGGGCCAAGAGGTTATGAAACCTAGAGGTGCCCTAAAGCTGGGGCCCTTGGTCCTACTGGGCCTGAGCTGTTCCTGTGGCCTGCTGCCCCATGCAGAGCCCTGGCTCTCCCCGGCCATCACCTCATCCTGTTCTGCAGCCCAAGTGATGAATGTTAGTCTAGCCCTGACCTAGTCCTGATCTTGATCAAGACAGACCCCAGCTGGGCCCAACTCCGACCCCTGCTGCAGTCTGAGCCTGAGTCTAGTAAGGGTTGGCTTGTGGGTGGCCCCTGTTGGAAAGAGATGAGGCCTAGACTTGGAGGAGTTATGTTCGGTTAAATGATGAGGAAGGATCTCCAGGTTCGTCCCCCACCCTGCCCTGGACCTGTGTACCACGTAGGGATGAGTGCTGCCCTACACAAGGAGGTGACTTCCTTCACTGGACATTTCCTGACCATCTGCTGGGAACAAGGGCCTGGCAAGCAAGGGTGATAATGAACTGTTCAGAAACTAATTTGGAACTCCTTGGGAAGGTGCCAGACACCACATCCCTGTCTCTGCCTATTACTGTTCTCTCTCCAAGGCCCAGACAGTAGATAGGCTTGCCCCTTGTCCCCAGCCTCAACCAGTGGGGCTGGACCAAGGGGCCAGAGGATGGACAGTGTAACCTGTGACTCAGTTTGGTGGGGAAGCCTGAGGGTGAGTGGGAACTCTGGACTCCAGGTTTTTATCTTGGGGGACGGGTGGGTAAATTACCAGGAGACTGGAACAACTTGCCTGAGCTTCCCTGGAGCCACCTCTTATCCCTACCTGGGTGGGATGTTCCAGACCAAATTGACAGACTGAACATACACCCCGCTTTGCCCAAGTTCCTAGGGCCTGGCATTGCCCTCTTAGGTTGGACCTTGGATTGACCATCCTGGGTCTCAGTAAGTGAGATGGGACTGCCCTGTGGATGCTTCTGGAATGCCAGTGTTACTGTCCCGGTTCAGGATCTGGCTGCAGTGATTGCATTGGGCCACTAGGGGTAGCCCTAGACAGCTCAGCATTGCTGATCTCAGTCTGGAGGAGGTCTGACCTGCCCAGACCGTGGCCAGGGGTGGGATTGGACTTGGCCCTGCCTTTGACGTCTTGTTGTGTTGTCTTCTGTGGAGTCAGAACCATCTCATAACTGACCTTTCAGTGCTTCTAGTCAGATGATCTGATGGACGACAACACTGCAGGGACTCTGGAAATCTAGGAGCAGAAGAGGAGCCTACCAATTATCAGACACCTACTGTGTGTCAGCCCCTGCTTTCAGCACCATGTCTTAGTGAAGGATCCCTGGCAGCACAGTAGTTAAGTGCTCAGCTGCTAATTAAAAGGTAGACAATTTGATCCTATAAGATGCTCTGAAAGAAAAAGCTGTGTAGGCTGCTTCTATAAAGACTACCAGCCTTGGAAATCCCATGTCTGGGCAGTTTTGCTCTGCCATGCAGGGGCAGAATCAGCTCCATGACTACAAGGCTCTTAAAGGAGGAATCTTAGGCCCAGAGAAAGGTGATGACTTGGTCTCCCTATGAAGGGAGGTCATACTGTTCTCCTGAATCAGGGCTGAGATCTATTCCAACACTCCACTCGAGGGGGTCTTCTGTCAGGTTCATGTTCTAACTCAGACGTGCTAAACATTTGTTGTTGTTTGCCATCGAGTCATACACAACTCAGAGCAACCCTATGAATGAAAGATCTGAACATTTGAGTAACTTTCATCATTTCAAGTCCATAGGGTTTTCAGAAGCAAGCTGTTTTGGAAGTGGATGCCACTCCTGCTTCCAAGCTTCTTTAATCGAAGGGCGCCACCAAACACTGTCCACCATGGGTAAACATTTTCGCATTTGACACATCAGTGTCACGGTGTTAAACATCATAGAGACTTTACATACTATCAGAAAAAGTACCTCCGAAGCCACATGTATTTTCAAAGGTCGCAGGTCCACCCATGCTTCAGGTTCTCATTGGCTCCCAGCAGTTAAACATTTAGGACTTTTTTTTACAATAGACTCCCATGTGCCTCTGGGGATGGAGGTCTGGGCTCTCAGTTGTCACTGATAGCTTCAGGTGCTTTCCCTTGAGGTAGGGCATCACTTCACTTCCCCAAGGGACTGTCACAGCTTCCACCCTAAGGAATCACAGCAGTGAGACTGTGAATGAGTAAGGGCAGAGAGTTCTACTGACTTTTGTCTGAAGTGGGCCCGGGGGTGTGGATGTGAGTTTTTTACTTGCCATTTGAGTTTGAGGGGGGACAATCAAGTGGGGGATGAAGAGCTGGGTCTGCTGAGGGTTGGGCAGAAGCTCCTGAGGAGGAAGGGGCTTTCTGGGGGTTAGGGAAGGAGAACAAATGTTCAAGAACCAAACCAAGTTGAACTTCCTCTTTGAGGTGGGAGAGCAGGCAGAGATGGGTCAGAACCTGGGTCATAAGAGCCTTGAGGACTAGTGGGAAAGTATGACCTATGTGAGAGTTGAGAGAAGCATTAGGAGTGAGGGCAGGGAGGTGGGGTGAGGGCAGGGAGATGGATTAGGATGCTCTGTAGCTTTCCCTTCCCCCTCCTTACTCAATCTTCCCACCCTACAAAGCATTCAGCAGAGTTCTGTAGCCATTGAGGGGTCTCAGGAGACCTTTGGATTCTGCAGGAAATCAATAGCCTGGGCTGGGAGGAGACAAGCTGGGTCTTGCCTCTCGCCCCCCTTGTCCTAAGCCCAGGGATTGGAGGAAGGACACGTAGAGCGGAGTTCTTCCTTCCTGAGCCCATGCTCTGGCATCTCCAAAGTCTCTGGTCATAGCTTGCTGTCTCAGAAAAGTGCATGTGGAATTCTGGGCAGGTGGCAGCTTCCATGTGATAGGCTTTGTAGCTTTCAGTGAGTGAGATCCTCCAGATTGTATTGTTATTTGCTGCGAATTGATTCTGTCTAGTGATGACCCTGTCTGAGGAGACCTGTTCTCAGAGAGTTTTCAAGGTTGTGACCTTGCAGAAACAGATCACTAGACTTGCGTTCCACTCGAGATGGATTCAAATAGCTAACCCTCTAATTAAGTGCTTGACCACCGTGTGTGCTGCCCAGGGACGCCATTTTCTTGTCTCTGCCTTGGGGATATTAATAGTGCTTACCTTACAGTGATTTGGGAGCACTCAGTGAGCTAACAGGTGTGAACGCCCTGATCTCTCCTCCAGTGACAGTGTGTACCTACCTTTTATGGGAAGCTGCTGCTTCTGCATTGTTCCTCTGTCTTACTGCGCTTTGCAGCCTTGGGCACAAATGTGTCCAAGTCATTTGTACTCAACTAGGAACAGCCCAGGGAAGAGCTGGCAAGGACAAGGTTCCTGGTCAGCCCCAACTAGCCAAGCCCTAGCATGTCCCTTCTCCCACATAACTTCCAGCCCGTGGAAATTTCCACACTTGCTCTGCCCTGGTTATAGCTCCTCCTGCGGTATTTATCACCCTGGAGACACAGTGGCATAGGGACGTACATGCCACACACACACATGCACACAAACACGTGATGCCTGAACACCTCAGCCTGCACTTCCAAATCTGCAAATGCATCACACACACACACACACACACACACACACACACACACACACGGCACGTGGAGGAACACCTACACACACAAGGAGCTCTCTAGGAAAAGTGTTCTCCCTCCTGTTCTGCCTCCACTCTGTCCTCCCACAACCACCCACCTTCTAAACAGAAACCAAAGAGATGGGCTGGACGCTGCCTCCCACCACTTGTCAGCTATGGAGGCATTCTCCCTCTATGGGTAGTTTGTTCTTGATCTGCCCCCCCCCCCCCGTCTGTTTCCCTAGCTTCTCTCCTTCCTCCACCCTGCTTCTCTATATGTCTCTACATCTCCCTCTACCTAAGTCACTCAGTCCTCTCTGTCGCTTTCTGACCCATTGAAGTAGAAACTTCTATCCCTCCCAAGGTGCTCTGTGTGGGGACCTCTCAGGAATTGATGGAGATGGGAATAAGGCAAAGAAGCCTGAACCTTCTTAGCTCCTGTCACCTCCAGTCCCTCCTCCTGGGTTAGGAGAGAACTGTGTGCCTGGTGCCATGGAGACCAGTGTCATAGCAACACAGCTGGGGTAGGCACAGCCTTCTGCCTCCTGAAGTGGGGACCCATAGAAGGAACTGCCAAGAAGCCTTCAGAGTGTGGGCCTTGGGCCTGATGTCCAGCACTGGTTGCCACGTCTGCCTCCCACTCCTGCCACCCCCAAGACACCTCAACCTGTGCATTGCAGCTTCTCATTCTACATATAGCTAATCCTAGCAAAGGGAAAAAAAGGATCCTATTGCAAACACCAACTTCAGAGCTGGGGATCTTGAAGTTGTGTTTACAGGCTTCAGGAGACAGGATCTTGTCCATGG